TATGTAGCATGGATCAGTTCATTTCATTTTTTAGCTGAATTATATCTCATTGTATGCATATACACATTGTGTTTATCTGTTCAACATTTGATGAACATGTAGGTTGTTTCACATTTTATATTATGTGAATTATGTATATTCCATGATGTTGTTATGAATATTCATGTATAAGTTATTGATACATCTTCAATTCTCAGAATTTACACCCATGTTTCCTCTAAGAGTTTTTTAGTTTTAGCTTTTACAATTAGGTCTTTTCCATTTTTAGTTAATTTTTTTATGTGGTGTGAGGTAGGGATCCAACTTCACTCTTTTGCATGCAGATATCCAGTAGTCCCAGCACAATTTGCTAAAAATATTATTCTTCTCCCTATTAAATTATCTTGGCATCCTTGTTGAAAATTCACTTGACCATACATGTATGAGTTTATGTCTGATTATTATGTCTTTTTAATATCTATTGAAATGATCAGATTTTCCTTTCAGTGTAAAGTATTGCTAGAGTTAATAATTTTTAACTATCTTTAGTCAAGAGATGACCCAAATCCAGTCATGGTGAATTACTATTTTCATACTCTGTTAAATTTAATTAGCTATTACTTTATATCATAAGTGAGATCGATATATTGCTTACTTTTTAGTGCCATCTTTGTCAGGCCTTGTTATCAGGTTTATATAAGTTTTATAAAATGAGTTACACACTTTTTCTGGTTTGGTAAAATAAAGGTTTAAAATGCTTGAGATCCCATGGGACCTTTGGAAGGGTTTCCCTGACTCACTCCAATGCCCATCTTATCTGTGAAGGCTACAGGTCTCAGTGATGTTTAAACCACAAATGAAAATTTAACTCACTTGAGTTTAAGTTATGTTTTAAGAACAAGTCACTGCCTTAAGAATGATTTTCTCTTCTTTTCTCTTCTTTTTCTCTTCCCCTATCCACATCAGCTAAAGTTATCCTTTGCATTAATAGGTTGCTTACCTGAAGTTGCTGTCATCCTTCATTTGTCATGAACACCCATCATCTTTCCTTCCCCTGATCTCCAGCTGCTGCTACTTAACCTAAAGAAAATACAGCCTGTGGAGTTGGCATGTTTGCTTTCCTAAATACCTCGCATCTGTCTTTACATTAAAGTTTGTATCTCAATGTGATGATTACAGCAGAGGCTTGGAGCCAGGTTACCTGGGTGTGAAGCGAGACTCGGCCGTACACCAGCAGACTAAGTATGACCTTGGTAAGGTCTTAGATTACTCACCTATCAAACAGGGATAAAAGTAGGACCTATCTGGCCACACGTGGTGGCTCACACCTGTAATCCTAGCATTATGGGAGGCCGAGGTGGGCAGATCATTTGAGCTTAGGAGTTTGAGACCAGCCTGACCAAGAGCAAGGTCCCGTCTCTACCAAAAACAGAAAAAATTAGGCCAGCATGGTGGTGCATGCCTGCAGTCCCAGCTACTCGGGAGGCTGAGGTAGAAGGATTGTTTGAGCCCAGGAGTTGGAGGTTGCTGTGAGCTAGGCTGATGCCATGGCACTCTAGCCTGGCAACAGAGTGAGACTCTGTCTCAAAAAAAAAAAAAAAAGGACCTACTCAGCATGTTGTGGAGAACATTGCATAATCCAATATTTATTAGGTGTTTAGAACAATGCTTGGCCCTTTGAATATCAGCGAGTTCAGCACATAAGTCCACTTACTTGTCTTTTAAAGGCCTAAATTCCAGAGCTGAGAGACCATGCCTCATTTTAATTCCCTCACATACTGACTTTTTAAAAATAAAACTATTCTCCTCCTCATTAGCGCTCACTACTTCTGTCTCAACAGCCTCCAATTTCCTTAGATTGTCCTAGGATTCTGCCTGCCTATTACGCCCCCTAAAACGCCAGATGGCCCTTCTGAGAAGAGTTTGACAAAGTGGGGGTCCTTTTTTCCTTCCTGCGGATCCTTCGGCCCTTTCACACTGAGTTTAGATCTGTAACCTCTGCTGCACCTTAAAAAGGCTAAGATCCCGCCCACCGCTGATGCCTGTTCTAAGAGGACCATGGAAGGTTCCATGGCCTCAGCTAACCATGCATGTGCAGACAGCCTCAAATCTCTCTCTATTCCAGTTACCACTCGTCCAAGCTCCAGAGCCTTCCACCTAGCTCACTTCTGAATGTTTCTATCTCAAACTCAGCTTGTTCAAGAGTGGCCCATCAGCCTCCCAGCAGATGTCCTTCTTCGGTGTTCCAGTACTCGCAAGTGGCACCAACCGTCACCAGCCTCTCAAGAAAAAACCCTGGAGACCATTCTGGACAGCTTCCTCCCACCAGCCTCCCCAGACACTAGCCACACTCTATGTTTTTGATCTTCTAAAATTTCCCATGAACGGATCCTGCCGCCAGCTCTGTAGCTAGACTCCTGGGCACCAGCCAAACAGTGCTCAGTCTGCCCCACTCCCCACCCTGTTCTCCAGAGTGATCTCTTCAGATGCAGACTGACTTGCTCCAAGTCCCTCCAGAGCTTCTCCTAGTTTTTTTTTGGGGGGGGAGAGGTAGTTCAAGTTCCATAATGTTGGCTCCCAAGCCCTCGGTGACCTAAGTGCCCATCTGCAGGCAGCAGGGAGCGCAGAGCTGCTCTCTCCCCGGCCCTGTCTGCACATCCACTCAGCCCCGGTCCTGTTTGCCCATGCTGCTTACCTTTCCCATTTTTCCCCTCGCTTTCTCAGGCTCTTCCTTTCTACTGGATCATTTCCACTGAATTATAGATTTGCTCTCTCTTCCATCTTTGTCATTTTTTGAGTGTCCTTTTGTCCAGCTACAACCATTAGCGCTTTCCTTTCTAAAGCAGAGATATCCAATGCTGCCTCGTGCAGTTTGCCTTGTGTCCACTCCTGGGGCGTCCATCAACCCCTGCCCCTGGCCCCGACGCTCTCAGCAGCGCCCTACAGCCGCGGCACCAAGTGAAATGAGAAACGTTTCGTCCTCCGCTCACTGCAGCCCTCCCTAGCATGGCACTGCTAACCACTCCTGAAAACTGTCTTTGCTTTTGTTGAATTTGAAGGAAACTCCTAAGAAATGCTCCCCACCCCATTCCCCCTACTTCACAGGGCACCCATACCTCCAGATGCTCCCCAGTTAGTGCCATCCATCCACGGGCGTGGTTTTAAATAGGGTACCATTCACACGCTGCCTACCTCCTCGCTGTGTTTCCAGCCCAGGCTTGTCCTCTGAGTTCTAAGTCAGGAACTTTCCATTCAACATCTCTACTGGATGTGCCATTACCATTTAGAAGTGACCATGTCCTGACCTCTATCACTTGACCCCCTCCCAGCACATATGCTCACATGTCCACATGCAGACACGGATCACACACGCGTGTTCACCAACACGTGTGTGCGCACACACAAACATGCTGACACACACACACTCTCTCTCTCTCACACACACAGACCTGATCTTCCTCCAAAGTTCCCCATGTCAGTTAATGTACGACCGTCCCCCATTTACTCCTGCTAGGAACCTAGGACTCCACCTTGGCAGCAAAGCCCACTCCCCACCCACACGCACCCGTCCCCAAGTCCTCTGGATGCTGTCCCCCAAACAAGTCCCAGATGCTCCCACTTTCCCCCCTCTTGGCTTGCGACCAGCTGTGTCCAAGTCACCAAACTGATCTCTCCACTTCTCATTTTCTTCTTTTGCTACTATACCAATCAATATCCCACACACCACCAGAGTGAGCTTTTTAAATAAGAATCTGATCTTGTCACTTCTCTGCTGCAAACCAGCTGCACTCAGAATGAAGCATATGCTAGAGCCGTGTGGTTGGGGAAGGGCCCTTTGCAAAGGTGGTATTTAAGTTGCAACCTCAATGACGGACAATGGGTCAGCTGGAAGACAGACAGACAAAAGATGCCTTCCACTTAGAAGAGAGAGCAAGTGCAAAGGCCCTGAGGTATGAACGCTTGGATCCTTTAAGAAAGAAGGCCAATCTGTTTGGAGCAGTGACTGAGGCAGAGGATGCTAAGATATAGTGATGGAGAAGGTGGCAAAGCCTGAGCCACACAGAGCCCTGGAGGTCAGGAAACAGGTACTTTCATAATTATTTTTAATTTTACATGATTTGGCCATTGGCCATAAGCTCCACAGGGCAGCACCCATATCAGTTTCCTTCCTTTTGTTCACCATCTATTCCCCATGATGAGTACAGTGCCTGGCACATCTCATGGACTATATGAACAGATAAATATCACTAGCATTCTAGCCAGGTCAAGTGTCCAGCAACTCCCCAAATGTAGCCTGTTGTTTCCTCTAACAGGGTCTGGCTTTTGCCTAGCTCAGTGGTTCTCAACCAGGGTGATTTTTGCCCCCAGGGGACATTTGTTAATGTCTAGAAACATTTGTGATTGTCGCAATTGAAGGGGAGAAGATGCTACTGGCAGGGAACGGTAGAGGCTAGGGATGCTGGTAAACATCCTGGAGCAGACAGGACAACCTCCCCAACAAAGAATTATTTAGCCTACGATGTCAACAGCGCTGCAGTTGAGCAGCCTGGGTCTAGCTTATGCTACACTTTCAAAGCCTCTGTGAGCATCACCTGTTTTAGAAACATTTCCCTCCTGATAAAACAGCCTGAGTTTGAGGCCCCTCCTCGGGCTCCCCAAAACTCCTTGGTGGGATTTATCCCCTTGCCTTGCAAGTGCCCCTTCTACCTGGCTCTCACTGGAAGTAACAGAGGTTGGGTGTGTGCTCTCTCAACATCCCTAACTCACAGTGGGCGTGCTTATGGTTTTCTTGAATGAATGCAGCCCCCTGGGCTGGGACAGGAACATGAATTTCATGGCAAACTATACATTTAAAAACATACAGTTGCCATATATGAACTCATAGGTCAGAAGGATGTCCCCAGCCCGTCTTTACCCTGGGAAGTTGTCTCTCCCTAGGTCTCTGTGCTATTAATAGTTTGTAACCCACAGAAAGGGCAACTTCCTATGTGTCCAATCTAACAGCATGTTGCACTCAGTTACTCACTGCCTTCAATTTTGATTTATTAAAGTTTAATCCCAACAACATAAGACATAGAACTAGGGCATATGACGCATTCCTAACAATGAAAAAAATAGGGCCAAATCTTCATTGCAGTTGGCTCTCCTGTGAGTCACGTCTACTTACACAGCAAGTGTGGACTTGCTTGATCCACCAGCAAAAATAGAAATCCCTCTGGCCACATGTTTGCAGGGTTCAGATCTTGTGCCCACCATGGAAACGCTGGAAGCCCTCTTCTTTGGATTTGGGTTTTGAAATGGACTCCGGTGGAAACGCCGTGCCCTTGGGGAAGGCTCCTTCCTGCCCAGTGTCCCGGCCCTGGCTGCTCTCCGCGCCACTCACTTCCACCCACGACCCTGTCCTCTCCCTGCCCCACGCTCCCGATCCTGCGGGCGGGGGAGGGGAAGCCCCAAGTGTGGAGGTGCGGGCAGGGTGGGCACCTCCCGCGCTCACGGCTCCTGCGGCTGCGGAGGAAGCGGCTTGCCGCGGGAGCACTCGCCGTTGTCAGGAGGGTTCTGCTCCTTCTCTTCCTTCCCCTTCTCCTCCTCCTCTTCCTCCTCCTCCTCGTCCTCCTCGTCCTCGTCCTCCTCCTCCTCCTCCTCCCCCTCCCCCTCCCCCTTCCCCTCCCCCTCCGGTTGCTCCCGCGCTTGGCCTCGAGCCCGCCTCCTCTCCAGCATCTCCTCGAAGAAGATCTGGCAGCTGAAGCCCTCCCGGATGCCGTGCTGGGCGTGCTCCAGCAGCGCGTCCAGCGAGGGGAAGACGCGGCAGCAGGCCACGCAGCGCAGCCCGTAGCCCGTGGTGACCAGCCAGTCCGGGGGCGCCCGCAGCTCCTGCAGGCTGCACTCCGGCGGCTCCGCGTCGTCCGGCGGGGGCCCGCGGGGGCTCTTGCAGGCCTCCAGGTCCCAGCGCAGGTCGGTGTTGGAAGCCATCTCGAAGGAGGAGCCTTTCCGGCGCTGCCGCTTGATGAACTGCGCCTCGCGGATGCGCGGCTTCCTGCTGACCGGCTGGAAGCCGGCCTCGGTCTCCCAGGCCACCGCCACGCCGCGCACGGTCTGCACGTGCGTGTAGAAGGCGCACACGCTCTGCGGGGCCGCGCCCTCGCCGCACGTGCGCGAGCAGCACGACGGGCACTGCGAGTAGGACCGGTACTCGGAGGAGGACTCGGACGAGGGCGAGCTGCTCCAGCCCAGCAGGCCCCGGCCCCTGGCAGCACGGTAGATGTCCTCCGCGTAGGGAGTGGCGGGCCCTGGCTGTGGAGGTGGCTCTTCTTTCTTTAGGGTCCCTGGGAAGCGGAAGGACATTTTCATCAGTGCCCCCAAGAGACCGGTGCCCCAACCTGCCTTCAGGAGCCCTGACTGTGAAGGATGCAGGCTCTGGAGGCCCTTGGGCAGGTGCCATCACGTCCCGTGCCTGTCCTCGTGAAATGGCGAGGATAATAATGCCTGCCCCCAAAGGGTGGTGGCGAGGACTGCATAATGTGCAGATACAATGACTGAAGCCTTGACTTAACTCAGGACAGGCGACTAGACAAACAGATTTATCTGTACATTACGAATATGGTATCAAAAATGTATTAATGTACTCACTAAAACTTAACTGAATGGAAAAGGCCACTGACTGGTGAACAAACAGAGATTGTGGTACATCTGTACAGTGCAGCCCTATTTGCAGGTAAAATGATTGAACTACAGATACATGCAACAATACAAATCTCTAATGCATTATGCTAAATAAAAGCAGCCACTTAAAAAGACTACATAGTATATAATTCTGTTTAGATGACATTCTAGAATTACGGAAAAGGCAACTTTATAGGGACAGAGGACAGATGGGGTGAGGTGAAGAGGGCTGACCATAAAGGGGCGTGAGGGGACTTTCAGGGGTTCTGACGATGCTCTGCCCTGTGCTGGTGGTGGTGATCATACAAAGACACGTGTCAAAATTCTTCGAATCATGTACTTGAAATTGGTGAAGTTGTGTACATAAATGGAAGCTCAATAAAGCACATTTAAAAAGCAGAGCATGGAGAGTGCTTTGGCCTGGCTGCCCAGCCCCACTTGCCCCTTCTCCATTTGTGAGGCGTCTCTATGTCACTCGGGGACAGCTGGCCGTCTCCTTGAACACTTATTGTGTCTACATCACCATTAAGTGCTTGCCAAGTGTTAACTCCTTTCATACGCAAGACACGCCCAAGAAACTGCAATGCTATGATTCCCATTGGACAGATTAGGAAACTGAGGCACAGAATTTAAATGACTGCTAGAGTCACCGGCCCTGAGAGCTGATGTTACCCTTAGGTGCTGCCCATGAACATGCTTTAATGGTCTTCAAAGTGATGTTCTGTCATCAATTTATTATAAAGGATTTTTTAATTTGGTTGTTGAGATCACACGATTGACATGTTAACTCTGCTTTTTTTTTTCAAATCCACATTAAAATAATACATAATGGTTCATATTTTACATTTTCATTCTCATACTTTCTGAAATCACCTCATACATTCACAACAACAGCCTGGTGATACCAAACATCCCATAAATATCAGTTTCCTTGGTCCCCACCATCCACTCGTATTGTCAATGCAGCCCTCTGGCAACAGGGTCAGGGCAACCTGGCGCCTTCCCAGGAAGTACACCTGGCTGCGCCCTCCGGCCCTTTCTGTCGACCCACCTGGCCACACTTCCACGCTGTCCTCTGTGGACTCAAGGCTGGTCAAGCTAAGAGTGGTCCCCTCGGTTGGTAACTGTCCTCCCCTGTGACCCGTGAAGTGGGGTTTCATAATGTGAAGGCAGCGCCCAGGGCCGGCGCTCCAGCTGTCGAGTGGCAGTTGGCTTGGGCTGTGCTGAAGCCTCCAGCTGGCCCCAGCCAAAGTGGATGCTGGCTCCCCACGGTTACTAGGACCCTGGCTTTATTCTGTGACCTCATCAGTGACACTGGTCTGTTCTGTGACCCATGGCAAGGACAGAGACCCAGCCTGGATGCCAGGGGAGGTTTCCCAACATAATCCCATTTTCTGTTTTGTGTATTTTCAGGAACAGGCACAAACACAAAACATACACACTCTTAAAAACGTATACACATAAACACACAAAGACACAAACACATACACATGCTTACACAAACACACACACTTATACACACATAAGCATGCATATACTCCCACACATACATGATCACTCAGACACACACTGGGACACACATGAGCGTGCATAGACACACAAACAGTAACATAAACATACATACATGTGTTCACACAGACACACATATTCAGACACACATAGACACAACATACGCACATTCACACACATGTTCACTTAACCACACACAAATACATTGCCACAAACTCACGCCAGATTCACACAGCACACACATGCTCACGTAAATAGTTATCGTCAGCATCAAAATGGCCCTGCTTCCCACCTGGGAAATCTCACCTCCTCACATCCCCGGCCCGCACCCTGACCTTGTGTAGGCTCCTCAGCCCCGGACGCCCCACACCTCCCCTCCGCCCACTTCCTTGCTCAGGTCCTGCGGCTACAGCCTCCTCGCTGTCCCCAAACACACCAGGGATCCTCCCCTCCTGGGCTCAGGGCCCCCTCACTTGCTCTTCCTCATGCCTGTTCCAGGCTCTCCCCCCGTGTCCCCGTGAGGTCACTCCCCTCCCAGCCTCTGCTGAAACCACCTTGAGAGAACAGCCAGTCTGACACCCTCAGGAAAGGAGTTGTCCTCAGACCCGGTCTCTCTGTCTCCCTAGCCGGCTTTATTTTTCATGATAGCATTTTCCACCCTCAGACGTGCGTAAGTTCTATGAGTGCATGTGTGTCATGGGTTCCCTGTATCCGTCTCCTCCTCCTCAAATGGAAAGGTAAAGACGTCACTCATTGCCCCCTTCATCTCCCTAGTGTCCAGAACAATGTTTGACATATTAACAAGCATTCTAGAAATAAATGTCAGGTTAACAGGTAAATAAAGGATGAATATGTTGGGCTGACAAGGATGTCACTCCCTCTCAGAGCTGCCTCTCATGTGCTCCCCAACGTCGCAGCTCCAAGGCGGACCGGGCCTCTCCCACCCGGAGGGACTCTGAGAGCCGCCTCCTCCTCCTCCGCTCACGCAAACCACGCTCAGCCTCCCTCAGCCTGCCCAGCGTCCACCCGCCGTCCCTCTCTGCTCCAGGATGTCCTGCTATCTGGACACACTTCCCCCAACACGCTTCTCCCAGCTTCCCTCTGTGGCAAACCTTTTTCCCACCCTTGGTCAGTCTCATCAACTCTAATTGTTTGGATACCGGATTCTAATCGTGCAAAACAGAGACGGGTTGAAAATAACCCCAATGTTCCAAAAACACCACCACCACCCCACATGCATCGAGCACCTGGGAAGACACTCGCTCCAGAGTGTGAGGCCACTGAGTACACAGGACAGCACGGAGCTCGCCCTGCTGGCGATGGCAGTCACACCTGCACCAGGAGACAGCGCCCTGGTCGGAAGAGGACACGACGCAGATTCGTCGTCCTTTCTTACCAAGCAAGCGCAGAGACTTGCCTTATAAAACAAGGGCTGCAACACAGAAATTAAGGAGAGGAGTGAAAGATGAAAGGTAGTTCGGAAAGAGATGACATTGTATTTTTAGAATTGTTAAGGGGTTAAATAAATATCCTGTCTGGGAGGAAGCCTTGGCCAACAAATGATGCTGAAAACTTGTATTCATTGTTTTTTAAAAAATCAACTCTGGTCTCACCTCATATGAAATGACTAAGAATATTTTCATATGGTTCAGAGGTTATGTTTTATCTAAAAATATGTGCAAAGAAAATATTTTGATATTTGTAATTAGAGGGTGGCTTTTCTCTACTTCAACAATATTAATCTTCACAAGCATTGAGAATCTTTGTCATCTTTTTTCATTTCATTGCTTAAAAAAAACCCACTGTTCACTTTGTCTTTCCCTGCATTTCAGTGAAACTGAACAGAAGACAAGGATAGAAAATACATAGGCAATTCCCAGGAGAACTGCAGATGGTGTACGACAAGATGCTGAACATAACCTTAGGAAGGAAACTGTAAGTTAGATATTCATGGTACATGGTACAGCATTTTGCTCCCAAAAGATAGGCAAGAGTTAAAGAGATTGAAAATACCAAGTGCTGGTGAGGATGTGAGGAAACAGACACCCTTGTACTCCATTGGGAACAGTGACACTCTACCTTTCTCAAAGGGAGCGTGGTGGTGCCTGTTAAAGTGAGTGTGCTCTCTCACCAAGCAGTTTACCAGCATCTCTTTCCACACAATCACAGTCAGATTGTGTGTTGTGTGAGTAAAGTAACACATAGAGGAATATTAGCTGCAGCATTGCGTATTATAGGAAAACAAGCAAAAAACATTCCTAAGATTCATCAAAGTAAAGGAATGGTTAAATAAATTACAACATAATCAAACTGTGGGATACCATACCACAATAAAAAGAAAGAGATCTACACATACTAATAAATTAATTCATGTTAAATGAAAGCATAAGATGCAAGGGAGTACATAGTTGATCCCACTTATGTAAAAATCAAACACACCACCCCTCCCCCCAGAAACCCCAAACAAGTTCTGCGGTGTCTGTGCACGTGAATGCGCAGAGGAGACCTGAAAGGGCTGTGAGAGATGGAACTTTCCGAGGACGGCCACACCAGTCTGTCACCTCCGCGTGTCCTTCCGGGAGCACGACAGGGCCCCTCTTCCCGAGCCTGCCTGGATTTTGTGACTGCGATGGAATGCGCAGGACTGAGGCTCTGTGACTGTGAGTGCTAGGTCACAGAAGATGCTATGACTTCTCCTGGCTCCCACTCCCCTTGGCACCCGCCCCACGCTGTGGGGAGCCCAGCCCGCCTGCTGGGCCCGCAGGAGTGTCCGAGCCAACAGCCCCGGTGGGGTCTCTCAACCACGTGCGAGCGAAGGTGCCTGCAGATGACTCTGCGGCCCAGGCTTCGAGTCTTCCCGGGGCTCCTGGACATCACAGGGCAGAGACAAGCCGCCCCTTGCGACGGCTGGAACCCCCACTCACAGAACCATGAGCACAAGAAAAGGTGCTTCACACACTAGGTGTGGGCGGTTGTTAGCGCCCTTACGACTCCAAGTCCGTACTGTCTAGATCTGTGCGGTGAGGCCAGTCGGCCAGTGTCTGCGCCGAGCGCTTCCTCAGCACAGTCAGAGAAGCTCGGGGCCAGGCGAGCACTGTGTTTTCCCAGAACAACTAAGGAGGATGGGTCGCCCACCACAACCTGCTTCCCTGCTTGTTCCATCCCAGTGTCCGTGTGTGGCGGCTTCAGAATTGTTCACTCTGGGGAACAGCCCATGGGAAACAACTTTACCAGCCAGATTACAATGTTTATATACAGTTGTTTTCGTCTTTAGCTTTGCAGTTTCTGGCCCAAACATCACTTTCAAAGTTGCTTGGATCAGGTCCTTTTCCCCCAGAATCCACATATGTTCTTTCCAGTCTTCTCAATAACGCTGCCAGAGAGGCTCCGTTAGCCTCCTTGCACGTACGGAGGTTGGAGGCTCAGGGGTTCGGGAGGCATGGGTGGGAGGCCAAAGGCGACAGCTTCCATCCCGAGCCTGGCGGCAGGCCTGCGTGGCTGGCTGCCCTGAGGCTGCCCGGCGGGGCCTCTTCCCCGGGGGTTGTTCACAGTGAAGCTGCACCAGTGCGTGCAGTGGGCTTTCGCCCTCACGTGGCCTCTGGGCTGCTTCCACTCATGCAATGGCCTCTGTCCCAGCCCCTCTGCCTGCTCCGTGAAGACACTCAGCTGAGACCACCCACACACGGCTCCTGCCTCCCCCACAGCCAGCCCGCCGCTTTCCAGCTGGTTTCCCAGCCTTGCCAGGAACCTCTGCGCTTCACTGCTGCAGCCAGCGGGGCTGGTGTGCAGAACCCCAGAAGGACCAACGAAGCACTTTCTTGGAGCTCTGACTCCTGGCCAGCTCATTTCACACATTGCACGTGAGCCCTAAATCTAATCAAGAAGGCCTGGAGTATTTTCTTGTCTTAACTTTTCTTCCAAAACCTACTGTTCCCAGCCTTTGTTTTCGCCAGCTGAGAAGGCTACAGGAAACAAACCAGCAGGAAGCAGAGAGGCCCCATCGCACTTCCCTTGGCTTCTAACCCCAGAAATAGGCTTGTGCCACGATCTAGGCTATAGGCAGAATCAAACCATTCATTCCATGGCCGGAGAGTCCAGAAACAGCCCATGCACTTGAACAAGGAGCCCGATGTTCCCAGGTGCATCGGTCCTGGCTGTGGCATTTCTGTGGCCGAGCCACTGTGGGAAGGTGTTTCGAGTGGGCAGTGCTCTCTTCACGCTGAAAGTGGGGCCCGTTGGGAGGGGGAGTACCCTGCCGCCCTCCGCTGCTACCGCTCTCCTTAGACTTCCAGAGGGCAGGAGGGAAGCGGGAGCTGCCCCAGGGCCTGCTGTACAGGTGTGTGGGGAGGGGGGCTCCAGAGTGGGGACTTTCTCCCAGGGAGGGGCAATCCCCAGGAATCAACGATGGCCTTATGCTGTGCTCAGTCTGCAGAGAAAGTGCCGGAAGCTATCAGACAAACAGGCTTGGAGCTGAGAAGTATTATCCTTGAGTTCATTTTCTGTTGCTCCTTGCGACTGTTTAAAAAGAAGTGAGTCAGTGGCCCACATAAGGAGAACTTACCGCAGAGAAACGGACGGCGGGAGCTCCTCCTCGGCGCCCTCAAGCGACTGCGGAAGGAGCTTTGCTTTTGTTTTCCTCACACATAATAACAGGCTGCTCTTCGTGCATGGTCTGTTTGGCACTGTCTCGGGTTTGGCCCTCTCCTCAGGGCGCCCACACAAATAGCCCAGGCCTTCCCTGTCTTCGGAGAGCTGGGGGGGGGGGCGGCCCCTGGGGCAGGTCCCCCAGGCACAGCTGTGGCTGTGCTCCAGGCCCCAGGGCCCCGGCGGGCCCAGAGCCTGCCTGCCTCCTGCTCAGCTCTGGCTTGGTGGGACTGTGCATGTTCAGCGACATGCGGGCTGCAGGAGTGTCTCCTGACGCACGCTTCCTCGGAAGGGTGATCTCAGCTGGGAAGAAGGACATCCTGGGAGGTGCCAAGCACGTGAGCCAGGAGCTACAGGATCCCCAGGGCTGGCCACGCCCTTTGCATGTTCTTGGAGAACCACGCTGGGAGCTCTAGGGAAGGGCTGGGTCTTTCCCCTCCCTGTGTCCAAAATGGGCTGGCCACAGGCCGCCCTGGACACAGGCCTCAGGCAGCAGTTGCTGACTTGTACTGAGGGAACCTCTGGCAGCACAGCCCATGGCTCCAACTTGGAGGGTGAGATCTCAGGATCCCAAAGGCCAGCAGTGAGTTACCCTGATTTGTAAGTGCGCTGTGCTTGCTTCTCTGTGCCCTTAAAGGAGTATGGATGTCTTGTCGACAGAAATCAGCAAATGCATTCACAGATAACCCCTCAGAATAACTGGGACGATTTGGTTTTGTCCCTACGACTAGAACAGCAATAGCGAAGACCTGTCTTAAGAGTGGTTTCTCTCCAGCCCGTCCTTCAGAGAGATGATGCAGCTGCTTAATGGACGGTTGAGGGGAGGCCAGCCAGCAACAGTCCCTGCTCTGGACAGCACCCAAAGTCTTGAGCCCTCCATGAATGATGTACGAGTGGGGGTGGAGATTTCCAGGAAGGCTGGATCAGGCCACATGAAATTCCTGCAGGAAAATTCCCGAGAAAGAAGCCTGAGGCCAAGGCATAGGAGCCAGAAGGGGAAGCGTACATTTAGCCATGCCCGGCTGCGGCTGGCTGCGTTGTCCCTTGCAGTGCAGCAAGACCGGCTACACGTGGGTCGGGACACTGCTTCCAGCTCGCCCTGGCCCCCACCCTCACACACGCCCCAGGCCTGTGCAGAACTGGGCTCTAGTACATACGCAGTGCAACAGGGAGTGGACAGCACCATGCCACCCACCCAAGGCACCTGTGTCACCGCTGCAGCCAGCATGCAGGTCCACCTCTGGGGAGGACAGGGAAGCCTGCCAATGCCCGTGGGAAGGATGGAGTCAGCCTTGATTCCCCTCACCAGGGAAAGACAGCTATCTTCAGAAGCCAATTCAAATCCACCTGGGCCGTCAGAAATTCAACAAACATTGTAAAGATTAGAGGGAGCATCTATTTATTGTTTATAAGACAAGACTATAAGCATCTACATATTATTTAAATTTCAATGTATAGTTTTAAAATGATTCCCTGTGAACATAAAGATCATTCAGCAAATATGTTATTACTTTATTGGAACAAATATGTAACAGTCTATTTATGGGGCCCAATTCCACAGGTCGTGTACCTTACGGTGAAATACCACTGAACAGGCCAAAAGATAATTTCTTACATTACTTACCTGCTTCGGTGGAACAGGTATGAACGGCTCATGTTTGAGCCACAGCAGGAACACAGAGTCCACCTGGCGCATTTGGCAGATTGCAGGCCACAGGCATCAGTGATGAAATACAAACAGTCACACTGTAAGCTTCACCACCCAACCCACAACAAATCCAATCGATCACAGTAAAGCCAAACTAAGATAATTAAAAGGCAAGAATAGCCGCCGTTGAAGACGGATCTCTCAATACCTCAGTGGGGAGGTTCTGGACACAGAGCCTACTCCCCACATTGCAGTTCCCTCTCTGCACAGGTGTGGGGGCGCAGCTTGGCTGCATGTCTGAGCACCAGATGTCTGAGTAGGACCCCAAAGTTCAATCTTTGCAAAGCCTAATAATACTGGACTATTTTAAAATATAAGCGCCAAACATATATATCAAATAACTCAGATAACTGAGAATCAAAATAACTCAGATTGCCAATGTATAGCCCTCAGTCAAATGTAAAAATTCAAAGTCAGTGTAACTATTTCTCCATAAGGATGGAAAAGTGACTTGCATTTTCATGAGTTTATGACCAAGGGGGCACTGGTGGTACAGTGGGCCTGCTAGTGCTAGCTAATGAGGGCTAGTTGCTAAATCTTCCAAGAACTCACCACATAAACAGAAGCAAAAACAAAGACCATA